TTCTTAAGGGATCATGTATCTAAAGGTAATATTGAATTAATGTTCATCAACACCAAGAATCAATTGGCTGACATTCTCACGAAGCCACTTCAAGAAGATAGGTTTTCCACACTTCGACGAGAAATCGAAATGGCTATAGAAAGAGATTTATGATCACTAATGTATCCCTCAAGAAATATAAAAGATGTGGTTCTATTCCCAGTTCGGCAGACCGAAACTATGTTTTGGTCGACCGATTTAAATTTTGGCAGACCGAAACTGAAGCCTTATCTATTTCGGGCGACCGAAATAAGGAAATCATTTTCTCTTCAAAAAAAGCCATTTCGGTCGATCGATGTAGACATTCGGTCGACCAATTCTTTGGCGGCCCAGATACGAACAGGGTTAAAATTAGATTTAAATGACCCGCGAACCTTCTCATCTCATAAAGTACTTATCTCTCTCTATCTCCGTATCTCTCTCTAAAGGCGATTGCGAACCCTGGTATCACTCCTCCCTCTCACTCCTCTCCTCCTCGTATTCAAGGTAAGTCTTGCATCTTCTTCCTCAAGTCAATCTTTTTGACATCAGTTTCTTTTGAGTTCTTTAATCTTTGTTGCATCATTCTAAGTTAGATTTGTTGCACTCATTATCATCTTACCATTTATCTCACCAAATCTCTAATCTCAAAAACGAACTTATGGCTTCCCGAAAGAATCCTTCTAGAACTGATAGGCAACTAGAAAAATGCTCCAAGATTTCCCATGACTTAGATGCCAGAGGGTCTAACCCCCCAAACCTTGAGCAATCGGATCCCTATCCCGCTCCCAATATGCGTCTCTTCCGTGAACCTGAGTTCAAGGAAGTCTATGAAACAAGATTCCTTCATAAGGTAGTTGAAAAAGGAAAATTTTTCGATGATCATGAAAATGATGAATTGATTCAACATACCTTTTCACTATTTGATGCTATAGGCTTAGGTGATTTTGTATCGCTCAAAGTCTCTTTCTATCCCAAACTTGTTAGACTATTTTACACCCATCTCGAGAAAGAACTAGGGAACAACGCTTACGATTCCTTTGTGGTAGGCTCTCACATTCACTTTACCGTGTCCAGTTTGTGACGCATTCTCAAACTTCTTCACGGTGATATCACCTACTTTACATCTTATAATTGGTATCATGGAGAAGGGTTTGATCCTCTCCAAGCAGTCCAACAAATGAGTCAATTCCCTACTGAAAACACTGACAAGATTTTTGCAAGTCAGTTAACCGTCCAAGCCCGTCTTATCTATCATGTTATCATCCATACCATTCTTCCAAAATCCGGTGGACGTTCGGATGTGTCGTATATGGAAGCCTTTCTCATATGGCGTGTCCAAAACGGAAAACAGTTTGATCTCTCCTTCATCATTTTTCACCATATGCAAGATTGCATTAAAAAGGAGAAAACACACCTCTTCTATGCCATGCCTCTTACCCTCATCTTCAGAGCCTATAAGGTGTGAATAGAAGGAGAGGACAAAAAGGAACTTACAAATCTCTACAGATTTGACAGAGACTTGATGGGTCTAAAAAAATCCGAAGCCAACATTTGGTATGATCCTAAGTTTGGAGTTCCTCAAAATGAAGGCCAAAATATGGTCATGGATGAGCAACAAGTAAGAGATGTTGAAGAGGGTGGTGATGGAGATAGAGAAGAGGAAGTTGAGGTTGAAGAAGAAGAGGAAAAAAAGGAAGCTGAAGAGCAACAAGAAGCCACTGCTGTCCCTCCCCCAGAAGAGCAATCCCTTCATGCGCTGCTCTTAGAAAACATTGCTCTTTTTAAGGAGCACATTGCTCTTGGCAAAGAAAACAGGGAACACATTCTTGAGATGCGTGAATGCCTTGAAGAAGTTGCTAATGAAGTCGATTTTGTGAAACGCGACCTTGCAGACCTTCGAGTCACGGGACTTCCTCATTTCTGATGCTCTCACACCCCTCCCCTTCTTTTTTGATGCATGACAAAGGGGGATAATGATGTTAATATAGGCTGTTGTGATTAAAAATGTAGTTGAAATGCTGAGAATAGGATAATGATGTAGAGGTGATCATTAACTGTACTGAAATCAAGTAAATGTGATCTTTGACTTGACTGTACTCTGAATTCCTAAATCAAATGAAAATACATGTTTTTGGTATCTATGAATTGCATGTTCTTGATTCTCTTATATGTGATTTCATATGTATTGCTAATAATGTTTAAATGAATGCACAAGGAAATGGGGAGTTTTGTAAATCTTTTATATGTATAATCTTGCTTTCAAAATTATGCACATTGATAAGGGAAAAAATTCCCATATTCTTATTCTTATTTGACGAACACATCAATGAATTGTCATCATAAAAAAGGGGGAGATTGTTGACCTTGAATCTAAGGCTTTTGATGATCATAATTCATTAATGATATTCTATGTACACTAATGTTTACTTGAGTGAAATTACAGATCAAAGTTTTCATCAAGTCAAGACACTACAATAGAAAAGTAAAACTGAAGAAGCAACACCAAGGCATGAGAAAAGGACTAAGGAATCAAAAGTCAAAGACAAGTCTTCAACATCTCATCAAAATGGGGTTAGTTAGGATGGTGAGCTCTTTAGGAAACCTTGTTAAAGTATATATGAACATCTTGAAGCTCAATCTCTCAAAATCATGCATAGAAAATCATTCATCAAAGTGAGGATCATTGGACCAAACTCAACTCATCAAAATATGTTCCTAAGTTATATGTTCCATTTCGGTCGACTGAAATGGAAGGATACCTTAAACCGGTCGACCGATTCTATCTAAGAGGCTGGATCAAAATTTCTAAGAAATATCGGTCTACCGAAACTCAAGGGCAATCTAGTTCGGTCTACTGAACCTAGCAAACTTAAAATACACACTTGAGTTTCAGACGACCGAAACTAAAGAAGTAAATGAGTCAACAGAGCTGATTTTCACAGAAGGTTTTAGAGCTTTTGAGGAAGGAGTTTCGGTCAACCGAAACAGATGGAAGTTTTCATCGGTCTACCGAAACATAGCTAGTAATCAACCTCGAACCAAATCGGTCGACCGAACCTCAAGAGAGTTTATTTCGGACGACCAAACCTGCGAAAATTCAAATTTCAAACAGCCATTATTCCTCGAAGTGTGTGTCCAACAGCTAGAATTCATATTAGATAGTTCTGAAAGTCTATATAATGACTGGTAGCCTTCATAAAAGGTTGTTGCATTTATTGAGAAAGATCTTCTTGCAATCAAAAAGCCTTTCATCATTATATACACACTTGTCATCATCAAAAGAGTATTGAGCTTCAATTTATTCATACATACTCTAGAGTGAGCTGAATCTTGTACTTTAGATCTAAGAGAGATCACTTTGTACTTCATCAATCTTGTTCAAATATTGTAAGAGCTGGTGTGGCCCAAGAAAGACTAAGAGAAGATGTTTCTCTTAGCACTTAGAAGCAAGGAAGAGCTTTTTGTAAAATGTTTGCTCTCTACCCATAAGGAGAAGTCATAGTGAATTGGGAAGTCTCAAGAGGGGTCTTGAGCCGAGGAGTAGGAGTTTCCGAACCTCGATAAAATCACTGAGTATATGTTTGCAATCTTTATCTCTATCTCTTACATTTATTGTTATATATTTTGTTTGATAAATATTATCCTTTGAAGTTCAAAATTCAGATTATTTTCTTCAATATTTATCAAGGAAGTTTAGCTTTGTTTTAGTTGATTAATTAAAACCCAAATTTGACCTTAGTTTGCTTAGACTCTATTCACCCCCCCTCTAGAGTCTATATTTGGGCAACAGATGAGATGGGACTTTAGGTAAATTAGTCTTTAGATGAGTTTTTTACTTCTTTTTTTTTGTGGCTGTATGAGTGACCACGTGGCTGAGACTCTGATTGGTCTATGAGTGACTGAGTTTAGTCACTGAATTTACTTTAGTATTTATCATATATATATATATATATATATATATATATATATATATGGTTCCGGTTCCCACGGGCTGGAATCGGAACCGGAACCGGAACCGTATGCTCACGGTTCCTAAATTTGGGATCGGAACTGGAACCGTGAGAACCGGAAAAAACGGTTCCGGTTCCACGGTTCTGGTTCTTTTGTGCACCCCTGTGTGTACGTATTGTTTTAATAAATGGTAATAGGAATGGTCTTGGAAAAGACATTATTATTAGATCATTATTAGATACTTCTCATTTATAGACTATGTTGAATAGGTTACTAGTGTTGTGGTACATGGAAGGGATTGTATCATTTAGTGATATATAACCGCCATGACTCGCATTGGTAATTTATTTACCATGGTATTTATGATAACCAACTTAAGGACTCAATCTAATTTATGGTGCACACTAATGACTATTTTACTAAACCACTACAGAAGTTATCATATGAGCCAAGTGGGAGAATGTAAAATTATTTATTAATTGTGTGGCCCACATGTTTTGGACATGTGATATATTTGATTAATTAGTGGTTAAGTAAATAAGTAGATTAATATTATATTATTTGGTCAACTTATAAATTACCTTTATAGTAATTAATTATTGGAGAAGTATTTTCCTATTTATTTCTTACTTTGATGGAAAGTGAAACTTTGATAGAAAGTGGAATTAAGGTTACTAAAAGAAAAACTGGTCCTCTCTTGCCTTTAATATAAAGTGCATATCTCCCATCAATTATGGTACGCTAATGAAAACATGTATAATGTTTATGTGTGCAAAAGGCCAAGAGAGAGAAATCGGTTTCCACGCTTTGACTATTGCAATTTATCACGTTGTTCGTTCCATAAAAAGAATCTCTTGAACTTGATCTCTATGATATTTACAATCACAGATCAAAGTATTAATTTATATCTAAGTATATTTATTTATACATTATAGGCATGTGAAAATAATGAAGTTCTAAAATTTGAAATTCATATTTATTTGTGATGAATAGTTTGCACGAATAAATTATAGTTTACACTACATATATAGAAGAGGCTCAAATTGACATTGTATATTGAATGTATATTAAATGTAACATATTGCTGCATAAAGGCATAATGGGTGCTTTAGCTTTACACAGATTATTCTGAAAATTCCAAGAAGTTTTAATCTGTAACTTACTACAACAACAAAAGGATTTCACTCCCAACTTGGAGGTCCTTGAACATTTAAGAGAGAGCATAGATAAACCTTTCAACATGGAGTAGAGGCACCATAAGAATACCTGCTAAAACCCGACAGACATATGTTCTTTTGCTTGTGCTAATTTCTTCCCGGATCAAGTATGAATATTTCTATTTTTTTAGACATCCAGAAAGAAGAGCGACAAAAGTAAATCGCAGAATCTATCACCAAACTCTATACCTTTTTGATCCAGCATGGTACACACCTTCAGCAGGAAAGAAGATCTTCCTCACTCATCATGACAGCGCGTTCAAGGAAATCATATCTTGTATAGGAAAAAGGACGTCCAACACAGTACAGGTGATTCTAACCAATTCATCTTTTGACATTGAGAATGCCACTCAATCAAGACATGAAAGTGAGAAGCAGCTAAATACAGCATCAACAATACCTGGAATAGCTCGCGTAATGCTCATTTCAAGCAACGCATAAAGAGACTTCAAAGGCCGTGCCCCCCCTAATAAATAATCTGGGAAAAAAATAAAAAAAAATTCGGAGAGCATAAATCAGTGACTATATATTCCAGTGGCAGCCAACAGAAGTGGGTGCCTTAATCTTGTCATGGAGGGTCACCACCAAGTCATGTGCATCATCTAGAAGCTTCCACACATCAATATGTCCAGCCATGCTGTTGCACTCTCTTAGTATCTCATCCATGCTACTATATTTTTCAATGATTTTTTTCCTCCTTTGCAATACTGAAGCTGCAACAGCATAAAGTAGAAGATCATCTGTTGGCGGGGCTCGCTGCCTTATCCTGCTCCATGCAGACTTTCCGATCCCAGCTCTAATTGCTGCCTGATCTGCCCACATTACCTCCCAGAGGCAAATTGTCTGCTCAAAAGTTAATTCCCTTCTGAAGAGTACCACAACCATCCTGTAAACAAAAAAGCAATCCTCTGCCTGGAGCTTCTCTAAGTGTCTATAAAGATGAGAATCCTTGCATTTGATAATTTTAGAAACAATATTCAGTTGCCTCCTGATTCCTACCTCGTCCAGCCTGAAATTATGTCGACCCTTCCTCATAAAAGCAACAAAACACCAGAAAGCCTCATCGTCCTCCGTTATCACAGTAATTATTGGAGACAATAAATCACTCATACCCTGGCAGTAACCAATTTCGGGGTCGTAAAGGGCATAGGCTTCAAGAATGGCAACTAGTCGAGCAGCATGAAAGATCCTGCAGGGTTCCAGGTGATTATAATCCTTTAACCCAACAGCCTCAGCAGTATGGCGTGCCCTCATATCTGATACTGCAGCCTGATTTGGGGAGTATGCTATCCATTCTCCATTGGCACGAACTGCGTCAAGACGGATGATCCGCTGCCATGTGGCAAAATCTTCAGTATTACAGGGTTTTGACTGAACTTCTATCCGGGAGGGAGAAAAATCCTCCTTGGTAGGCACGTCGGGATCATTTTCCTCCCTGTTTTCAGCGGAGGGAAAAGGAGACACTTCGGGATCTTCAGATGAGTCTGTGTCTGATGACTCAGTGTCAAGAGCAGAGGTATTTGTATCAGTGATTCGTCTTGATCCAGCATCTTCTTCTGATAATGAGCTGTCGAGATGATCTGTGTACTCAACATATGGGCTACTTTCATCACCAGAAAGGGATTCCCTGGCGCTAACCACATCTAAAGATTCAGGAGTATCCATGCCCTGACCAAGAATTCCACTGTCCCCATTCCTGAAGGTTCCACCAGTTTCCTTTAACTTAAAGCTCTTATCTTTGTTTTTCAGAAGTCGCTGGCACTGTCTCCTGAGTTTCTCATATTCCTTTCTGCATCAATAGATTGAACAAGAAAACAAAGCACAGAAACATAATGGTTAAAATTAATGGGTTACAGAGTGAGTGCAACTGAAAATCAATAATCCATTGTAAAAATATTACATACATACATACATACATATACATACATACATACATACATACATATACATACATACATACATACATATACATATATATATATATATATATAAATTAGAGAGAGAGAGAGAGAGAGAGAGAGAGAGAGAGAGTAGAGTTGAGAAACGGAATCAGATAATTCGAGATCAATTTTGCAAGCTTACCTCTTTTGAATTCTCAAAATATCTCTTTCTTCTTTGGAACTGTTCAAGTCATAGCTGTTGAGTAAAAATGGGCAACTCAGTCACAGATGAGTTTTAGCACACCCGCCTAATTTTATAGAGAGGCAACACAAATATACAATGCAGTGTCACAGCATATCAAACCCCACAAGCAAACTCAAACTAGGAAAGGAAAGTGAACAATCACTTTTTATTTATTTCTACGCACCAACTTATCACACACACACAGGACATATATATATAGAGAGAGAGAGAGAGTAAAAAATTGGGTCTGGAGAGGTGTATAAAAGGTTAATGTAAGCTTCAACTATCCATTGCATAATTTCATCCTCTGAAAATAAAAACCATTTGCAGACAAACTCATAATAGCAATGACAACAGTGTGAAGGCTAATGTCATAGAAGTAAATCATTTGCAGACAAGCTCATAAGAGCAATGACAACAGTGTGGCGGCTTATGTCAAAGAAGTAATAAAACTATTTACTTTCCTAAAAATAGTTTCATCTCTAAAATAGGAAGACATATCAAATGACAAAATTGATTGGAAGTGCTGTTGCTACATTCAGTTGAATAAACACAACAACTGTGAGAGTTTTCTGTACGTTTCACCCAAAAAGAAAGAAAAGGGTAATTTACATGGACCTCCCCTATGGTTTGCCATAATTACAGGAACCTCCCCTCTGGTTTGGGAATTTCCACGGACCTCCCCTAAAAATGAAACTATCCTACACGGACCTCCCTTCCGTTACGGTCAACCTCAGTCAACGACGATTTCTGCTGATGTCATCCACTTATTTAAGTTAAATACCTATAATACCCTATGAGACCACTTTCTCTCTCTTCGGTTAAAATTTTATTTCCTTCACTGCACTCTCTCTCTCTCTTGGTGCATCAATCTGAATAGTCTATTTTCAGATTTGTTTTTTGTTCCAGTATCATATACATCAATTGGATTTGGTAGTCTGGTGTTTCTAGTTACATTTGTTATGTGCTTGATATTTGAAAGTAAGCACTAGTACATTAGTGCTTGATATTTGAAAGTAAGCACTAGTACATTAGTGCTTGATATCTGAAAGTAAACACTGGTAAATTAGTAATAGATTTGAAATTCTCTCTCTCTATTTTGTGTTGTTTACTTCCTGATTTGGTGAACGAGACGACCGTCACATAGTTGAGACTATTACAATTTGGGTGGAGTGAATTGAAGCCAATTGTGGATTTGAGGGAACTGGTGTTGGATTCGGACATTAAACCTATTTTGATGGTGTAACTTTATAGTTTCCTCTGCTGTTCTTTTTGGGTTTCAATTTCTTGTTGCCGCCGGAGTTGGGGAGTTTGTGTCATCAAAATCTGACACGTAACAATGGCTCATTCTGGTTATATGAAAAATAAAAAAGACATAAAAAAAGAGAGACAGATACCATATATTGTTTCTCTCTCCTCTCTGCCTCCTACCAATTCGCCTGCTCTATTGCCATCACCGATGTATCTGTTCATCGCCGGATTAGTCACTATGGCAGCCGAACACTCTGCTCGCCGCCCTCCTCCTTCCTCTCTCTACCCCTCTCTCTCTATACTACTATATACACACAACAATCCACCATGATACTTCTCCTCTCTCTCTCTCTCTCTCTCATGGATGCTCTCTACAGACCACCAAATACAACTGATTTTCTTTTTGCTTTAAGCTACAGTTCTGAACTGATCTTAACCTTAAACAGTCGTGTTAGGCTTTGCCCCTTATCCTATTGGCCCAGCGGCAGTTCAATTTGGGCTAGATGAATTGTTTGCATTATGTGACAATAGCAGAAGCACAGTTGCGAGTGCGGTGGCGGATCGAGATCCCAGCTGAAGAAGAACTCTCAGATCGCCTCTCTCTCTCTCTCTCTCTCTCTCTCTCTCTCTCTCTATATATATATATATATATATAGGGTACTTCAGCCATTTACCATAAAAATTAAGGGCATTTCAGTAAATTAGCCAGGTCTGTTGGTGTATTTAACGGTCCGTCACACATAAGGGAGGTCCGCGTAGGACAGTTTCATTGTTAGGGGAGGTTTGAGTAAATTCTCAAATCACAGGGGAGGTCTGTGTAATTATGGCAAACCATAGGGGAGATTTGTGTAAATTACCTGAAAGAAAAAGATATAGGGGCAATTTCCAAAAGCAGAAGGTGCAGGACAAGTCCTGGTTGGGACATAGGTTCATGTGCATTACCCCCAAAGAAGAATATTGTAAATAACACAATCCCTGCATGCTCCCCACGATGTTCCTATCCAGAGAGGATAAAACAACAGAGGATACGTGATTTTTATTTTCCTGTTTTTTCGGGGGGATCATGAGAAATTGGTTATGTCGTTAACAGACAAATTAAAGGAGTTATGATGCCTTCTATTATTTTTTATTTTCTGAAATTCAAGTTAAAGGGAATGAATTTTGTGTGCACATATCTATGAAAGAGAGAGATAGCATATAATTTATTAAATTAACATGCAAGTCCAAGTAACTCAATTGGCATTTAAAGATTACGGTTATTCCTACAAGTCCTTATTCGAACAGACTTGAGTTTAATTTCTGCATGGTTTAACCCTTTCTGACCATATTGTGCAAAATTTTATCTACCAGCAATATTTTGTCTAATCATGTAAGTTCTACTTCAAGTTTATTCAGAATAAAATACATTTATCCATGCAAACAACTTTGTGTGCTTAGCAATTTATACAAGTATAAGAGTCATACGACAATAACTTGGAAGTGCAGTGCTAAAAAGTGTCAATAGTTTTGCCAATTGGATTCATTTCCAAACACACAGTACAATTTGTTCATTTCTGGAAATTTTCATGGCTGCAACAAAACAATATAATAATAAATAGAAATTCTAAAATTTCCATTAAAAATTATGCCCCATAACATATCTTCATTTCAAAAAGTATTTAACCAAAAAATAAATAAATAAATAAAAATAAAAACAGCAGCACCACCACAAATGAGGCCCATGTGAAATTGCTAATGGCATATATATATATATGTGTGTGTGTGTGTGCTGGTTACTAATACACCTCCATCATGTAAGTAAATAAAGGTGACCCTGAAGACTGAAAAAACTAATATAATCGCCATTTTCATATGAGATGCTAGTACATGAATATATATCGAATCCCTTGCAACAAGCAGGACGTAAAACTGTGGCAATTGAAAACAAATTCATGGTTGAGTGCAAGTATCATGACTGGGGGAGAAAATTCTTCCTAGCTCTCTCAAAGATGACCACCCTAATTTAAATAAGAAGTTGCAAATCTTGAAATTCAAATTACAAGGTAAATCTCAGAGATACAAGATGTAATCAAAGATATGAAAGGTGAACATGCTTACACTCCAAGGAGGAATGGCCAAACCTCCGCCCTGCTACTTGGATCAACACCCTACAACAATAACAACAGTAATTCAGGAATTAAACAATCCAATAATTCTGTCAAGTATAAGCATAGAAAAGTAAACATGGAAATATCTAAAATGCAGCTTTAGGATTTCAAGGTGGGGTAGCATATGAACTGCATGAAATGTAACTCACTCCACTGCGAACTTTTTTCAAAAATTTGGATCCGCCATCGCGGAGCTTTCCATCTGATGTAAACAAACTTCTCCACTGTTGAGGTGAAAGAACATTTTTTCTTTTCCTACGAGACCATGGTGATTTGAGGTTACCCCTACAATGAAATGACACACAATTAATTATCATTACAATTAAGAAGACAATGCTGAAATAATACCATGCAGATTTGAGATGACCCCTAGAGTGAAATGTTCAATTAGTTATGGAACAAATAAGATGAACAACTTTGTCAGTTTGTTTCCAACTCTAAAAGAAATGGTCCAACAACACATATTGCTCACACTTGCATGACTAATGAAATCTATTTGTTTTAATCAACTTCATTCTGTGAGGATGCAAATAAATAAGAATAGCTGCAAACTATCCTGCTGGAACCCATTTCCCCAATTGAAATACTAGTGTGGAGAGTATCAGAGTTACTCCAGCAAAGGCTTTTTCAATATGAAATATACACATCGAAATAGTCAACAGAATAATGTAAAACTGGTCATGTAACTCTCAAAAAAGCAAGAAGTCAGAACACATCATAAGTTAGAATATCAACAGTAGTGTGCAAGCTACTAAAACTCGTGCATTGCCATAAACAAAATTAGTTAAAAATAGGATAGCAAAAGCAGACTATTTGGTAGTCCCTCATAAAGGCTTCAAATCTAGTTCCATGAGACTAACATCAGGTCCAGGCAGGAAATACCCACATCGAACAATGACAATTTCCGCACACTACATTGGTTAATGGATTAAGGGGCCTCGATTCTTACTCTCCTCTGTCTGGTTCTTGTAAAGAATGAGGGGAATCTAAAAATGTTGACAAAAACTTAGAAGAAAGAAAACCCACTTCTGAGCATTTCATATTTCCCCATACTTTGGAATTTTTCTTATTTAAAAAAAATAAATAAATAAATAAATAAAGATTTAGTAGTAGCACAAACAAAAATTAACCACATATTCAAAGGGAAGTAATCCACAGCTTGAGATTTGCGTCTTAAAGCAACAAAAAACAAATAAATAAACCAAGCTACTTTCTCCCTAAAAAAACAACCCACTTATCATTCTAAAATATAAAGAATATATCTTTAAAAAGATAAACCACTTAAATCATTCTAAAATATATACATACAATAAAACAGAGATTGAAACGAATATGGATATGTCAAATCACTCAGTTCATCGACTGTCTCAAACCTAACGAAAAATAACAAATCAAATTCACCAAAATTGGATTTCATAGATCACAACTACAGGATTATTGTACTAACAAGAGATAAATGAATACAAAAGACACTTATTTAAGTACACCCAGATCAATATATCTGTTGAAATCAGTGAAAAAGATTAAAACTAGAGCTGAATCAAAGAAATGAAAATGAATAAATAAAAATAAATCCAAAGTAATAGAGAGAGAAACTCACCTATCAGAAGAAGAACAGTAAGCTGGGGAAGAGGACGCAACTACAAAGAAAACCGATCTCAAATGAATCCACGAGGATGACGGCGTAGACAGTGAAGAGGAATCCGTGGACGATGATGCAGACGAAGTATGACTTCGCCGGAGGGCTCTCATCTATATATATACACACACTGTTTCCCTTCAAAATTCACTGATTTCTAGGGTTTAATCCGTGTTTAGTTAAAAAAAAATTCTAGGTTTTCACCTATGGGTGTAGAACACGGCCGCCGGCCAAGGCGATACCGGCCAATGCCGTCACAGAAAATGCTACTCCGGCATCCGAAGTCGCCATCTCCGGCCAGAATCCGTCGCCGGAGAAGATGATGCCACCCGAGTCACTATTGTACTGGTTTTAACACCATCAACACCAGATTTGAAGAAGAGGAAGAACATGGATGAGAGAGAAAGTGTGTGTAAGAGAGGAGAGTTTCTTTCTAAAACAGTAACTGTAGCTCAACTGCCATTTTTAGCTTTCTTATCTCTTTAGAGAGAGTCTAGAGAGAGAAAGTGGAAGACTGAACCGAAGACCTGAGAAAGTGCTGGTCCTCACACGCATCTAGTCTAGCAAACTATTTAGGAATGGAATGAATAGTTTTCTTCTCAGGAAAGGATTTTGTCAAGTTTTGTTTTACTATCTACAAGGAACTAAACGACGTCGCATGAGGAAATTAAGGAAACAAAAGCTATTTTTCATTAGTAATTTTAAAATTTTATTTAGTTTTATCCCGCAAAAGAACAAAAGCTAACTTTTTGATAAATAAAATTAATTATAATTTATTTTGAAATAGTTATTTAGAAGAGTTTTCTACAAATTTAAGCTCTAGTCAATTGGGAAAAATATGAAATGATTCTTTTTTATTTTTAACATTGTTTTCAAAATTCTTTGATCTTCTGATTTTTTCCTATAACATTATATAAAAGAATTTTTAATTTTTAAAAAAATAGTGTTATAAGTTAAGTCACACAGTTTTTTTTTTTTAAAAATATGTTGCTCTCATACTCTCCGTACACCCGTTGCCGCTCTGACTTAAATTTTACCTTGATTTTATTTTGTGCCTTTCACGCTCTCATTCTCGCAACGCTCGACTTAAATTATAGACTTATTGTATGTAATTAGAAAATGCAATAATTTTTACCCTACTAAAAGCATACTTTTCATTTACCCCTAACATGTTAAATTAATATATCTCAAATTTAGGATTGACATTTCAATTGACTTTCAATTTATTCAAACTAGAAAATTAGCCCTAACATGTAAAATTAATGATCTCAAATTTATGATTGACATTTTAATTGACTTTCAATTTATTCAAACTAGAAAATTGGCTTTTCTAGTTTCATTATAGATTTAGAAAGTTCTTTTTCTCCTTTTGACAAGATCTGGTCAATAATTACTCATAGTTTTTTTTTCCCCCATTAAAGAATAATTCTCATAGTTGAAGTTGGATGGAAGTCGCATTCCAAAAGAAAAGAAAACAAACAAAAACCAACCTTGCTACTGCTATTTAATGTATTAACCTAACTTCAAGATACAATTTACTATAATGTATCAACCTAACTTCAAGATACATTTACTGCAGAAAATTGCTGGTTGGCACAATGGTCTCTTTTTTCTAAAGGGCAAATTGAAAATTTGACTCTTGTGTCACATGTGAATTTGAACTTTCAACTTTATATTAGAGTAAAAAATTAAATGCAAGTACCATGTTATTCGAATGATTAGGTTGTTTTTCCTATTCGAATCTTGCACCCTTACTCTTCCATCTAACCACTAACTCTTAACATTTTTTTTAGATGGAAGGGTTTTAATTTTTTTTTCCTTTTTTTAAAAAAGAATAAACATAATTCTTTAAATGATTTTCTCTATTGGTTTTGACAGTTATACACACCAATGATGTATAAAAATCACTACCCAACTTTTCTCTCGCCTCTCTCTACCCTAGCCGCCACTCCTTGTCTTCCTCCATCTGCTTCCTCCCCACTCCCTCCCATGGGAGTGGGGCGGTCCTGATACAGGCCCTCAATGATTAATAATATTGGCGTGCTGTACCTAACCTGTTCGGTGGGTGGATTCACGCCATTTTTTGTTGTTTTCCCTCACTGTCGTCAAGATTTCACTGTGAGTAGCGTCTCTCACGTTTCATTAAGTTTTTGTTGATCTCCTGATCTGCGCCGTTTCTAAGGGTAGATGGTTGTTGGGTCGCCGGAGTTAGGTTTGTTTGTCTGCTCCTTTCTGAAGTTTTTTGGTGTTTTGCGCTGAGAGTGGATTGATGCATCTGCATCTTTTGCTGACGTTCACCGTCTTTGCATGCATTAGTGTGTTTGGTTCTCTCACAGGTGGTATATATATATATATATATATATATATATTTTTTTTTTTTCCTTCTGTTGTTGTGGTGGTTTTTCATCTATAGCTAGCACCTTTTCTTTGGCTTGTCAAGATTGCTGATCTTGACTATAAGAGGTGTTAGTTTGTTTGAAATGGTGTTTTATGTGTTTTGCTTTTCTATATTTGCCCAATGCTCTTCTTGTAGATGTTGTATGGTGTATGGCATGTTTTTTTGTTAGGAAAAAAATAAATAAAAAGAATGTATAAAAATCCTTGGAAGTGGCATGCCTTAATAGTGGCTCTTCCATTATGCCTCCACCCAACCACATGTTCTTTTCATTCACAAAAAGGGCCACCGAAAAGTTTTTGCAACACATGATTATGCCAACAACAATAATGATAACATCCAATCCAGTGTATCACTCCATGTACATCGACACAGGTACACCCCTTTTCCCTGTGGGTCCCAACACTTTCATATAACATTCATTGTGCGCTCTGATGTATATTTTTTTTTTTAGTTTTTGAAAAATTATTACATAGGCGACAGAAACACATGATCCAAACCAATTCAAGTAAAAATTTGAATAAAACTGATACATTAATTTATGCTGCAGGTCCTTGTAACATAAGGTCTGCGACCATATAATGATTTCTCTGTGTGTTTTGGAGGTTGTGAGACATTAGATACACAAACATGCACAGCCAAATCTTTTGGTGACCTACCGCAGCCTACACAATCACCAAATGAGGTTCAGAGTATAATCTGAGGCCAAATGTGAACTCATCTTGTGACAGCTAGTATCGACAAACTGTAGTTTCCACTAAACATTTCACTTCTCTGTTATTCTTCTTTATTCAACAAGACAACGAAATGAATTTGGTAACAACCTTTCACCAATTTCAATATTTCACTTACATATCTATCTTAGAATTAACTTCTGCAACACTGTTCTCCCATTTTTACATTGTCAAGACCATCTCCACCTGGTTGCATTTTGTGATTCCATGTCACTTCCGCACGAACGCATTCTACCATAACTTGTTTCTCAAATTTCATCTGTAAGTTCGGGAAGAAAAAGGGAAAATAAAAACAATTTCTAAGCCTTAGCAATGTCTCAGAATTCTATTATTATTATTATTATTATTATTATTTCCCCAAAAGAGAGATCTATCCAGTGGAATGAGATATTTACCTCGTTTGGAAAATGTTTTGGATCATTTTGCGGGGAGACTCATGTGCTGCAGATTCTAACTGAAGAACCTCGTCTGAGCTGAGTCGCCAACCAAGAGCGCCCAAATTTTCTTTTGCTTGTTTTATGGTCTTAATTCCAGGTATGGGGATAGTACCCTTGCAGATGCACCAGTTGATAGCAACCTGCCAGCGGGATCTCTTATATTAGATGAAGGATGAAGGACAAATTTACTTCATCACAAGGGATCAGCATTATGAAAATGAAATAAATAGATGGGTAAAATGCACAAGCATTCATTCAATTTCATGGCGATAATGTTCACGAGACGAATGTAGTATCCTGGAAGACCAGCCTTTTTTCTTCCTTCTATAACAGGAAGAGATACCAACTAGTCTCTGTTCTAATGGAAACATTGTAAGCTTATTATTTGTGGTTGTAGATGAGGGTTACAAAGAGCATTATTCGCTTAAATTCCTTTATCTTTTGCTTGTTTTATGGTCTTAATTCCAGGTATGGGGATAGTACCCTTGCAGATACACCAGTTGATAGCAACCTGACAGCGGGATCTCTTATATTAGATGAAGGATGAAGGACAAATTTACTTCATCACAAGGGATCAGCATTATGAAATATGAAATAAATAGATGGGTAAAAATGCACAAGCATTCATTCAATTTCATGGCGATAATGTTCACGAGATGAATGTTGTATCCGGGAAGACCAGCCTTTTTTTCTTCATTCTATAACAGGAAGAGATACCAACTAGTCTCTGTTCTAATGGAAACATTGTAAGCATATTATTTGTGGTTGTAGATGAGGGTTACAAAGAGCATTATTCACTTAAATTCCTTTTATCTATCTACCCCACAAGGATCAATCAGCCAAATTTCGACATCCAATTTTATTCACCTGATTTGATAATATAATGCTTCATTTGGATGAGTGAATTTGAAAAATGAAGAGATCCGGGGATTCAAATTTAAAAATATATAAAAAGGATTGGTTATTGGAGTTGGAGAGGCCGATAGGGAGACGCAAGGGGGAGGAAAGATTAGAGGCACAATATATCTTTTATTAGGGTTCTTGGATAACTAGAATATTTCTTGACATGGATTAGATATAGTTTTCAAACAACTCCTTTCACCTTCTTATTTAAAATTAGATATACGCTCCATGCATCGTATTGAAACCCGAATCTAGGCTATACTTCTTAAATAATTAAATCAAATTCAACTCAATTTCAATCCCTCATTCCAGATAAAAGTTGGTAAAATATGTTTGCATGATCTCAACAATCATGCACACTGGCCTGCGGTAGTCTGCTGGGACATGGGGTTATCACCTCATTCATGTCGCTGAACCTCTTCTTTTTCTTTACCACTACCCACTGTTAGTCCATCAATTCAGTCATTAATAGCAGACCTATTAGTTCAAAGTATTTGACAGGTAGTTTGTCTTTAAGAATAGAAATACATTTCAATTATTTCACAGAAAGGCCTTTCCTGACATGGTTCCACTGTAAAGTAATGAAAACTTCTGCACTGCCTATTTACCAGCCAAATTCTCAAACAACAGGTATCTCAAGACACGCTAAATGGCGCATCCAAGAAGGTGGACAACATGTTCCCAAGACTCAAGAAAATGAAAAGGACCATTCCAATCTGACAAACCAAGAGAGGAGATTTATGGCTCAAGCAAAAAACTGAAGTAACAAACTACAATAATGCAATGGCTCTAAACTAAAGGAGAGGGAAACACTACAAGGACAAGGACACAGATGTTGGAAATTTTTTTAAAGTCACATGCTTGGAGACATGGAATTTAATAAATTGAAAGTGCATAACGATGACCTCAAGTGGGTGTGAATAAAATAATAATACTAATAACTAACTAAAGAAATGAAGAAAAAAAGTAGTTGTCATTTGACTTGTCTCTACGGAGTCCCTTACCCATCAAATTTACCGGCCGTGGAACCTTAGCCTACTTTTTTCTTTTTCTGTTTTTCTTTAGCCTTTTTGTAGACAGATGTTCTTACTGATAACTGATTGATTCCACTCAAATCTGGGATCCAGTTTGAGGTGCTCAATTCAAGAAAAAGGAAGCCTTGAAGTTGTGAAATTGCTTGTGAAAAGTAGACCAGTACTTCAGATACAAAACACTAAAGAAATATCACATAAAATATAGCAGTCTCGAAAAATCATCATGCTCATTAAATTTATTAAACTGGTAAAACAATATTTTAATTACAGTCGACATAAAGCAACTGCTAAAGGAAGCCACAAAGAAATACCTGTGGTACAGTTTTCCGTCTTTTCTGTGCAATTTCTCTTAGTGAAATCAACAGGGGCTCCAGCCCTGGAATAATTTGTCCGAAAAGTAGGCCCCTGAAAAAGGACAACATATTATACTATGACCTAAACATCAGAGGCTTGAATTCACAAATTTGATTATTCATCCATATCTAATATTTAATGTGAAAAGAGAGCTAGAAAATTAAGTACCGGGGCCCTTGTGGAAGATTAGAGGTTGTATATTTCCCGGTAAGCATTCCAAGCCCTAAAGGACTATAAGAAATCAAGCGGATGCCGAGTGAATCGCATATATTCTTGATCTCCATCTGATCTTCTCCCATACTTAGCAAAGAAAATTGAACCTGAAATTGGTTTCAGAAAAAGAAAGAAAAGAAACAGATCAATGACCCAAGGTTACCCATCACAGTAGAACAATTTGCTCGGGTCTTCTCACATCAGCACATCAATCCGACATATACAACACAGATCCAAACTTTTTGGTCTGGCTTACTACATATGGCTCATTCACCAAGATGGTTTGGGTTTGTTTTCACCAATTCTAGTATATAGCTATAAGAATGTCGCCTAAATTCCATTACATATAAGATAAGCCTGATGGTAATAATCATGTTTCATGTAATATAAAATCCATAAAGTTACTAATGTTAATGAAATGGTAACATATTACCTGAGCTGAGCACAAGGGGACTCCCCGAGCTTTAAGGTAATCATGTATCTTCACAAGCTGCCTCGGACCATAATTGCTTACTCCAACGGCTTGAACTAAACCCTGCACGGTTCTACCTCATGAGCATAACAATTTGAACACCGATCTTGCAACTTTAAGGAGGTGGGATGTGGACATGATGAGGAAGTTATACAAGCAATTCCGTTTTCCTTATGTGAGATTGGAAACATTACTGGAAAAAATAAATAAATATTCATCACCAGGAGTGATATGAAAAACTCAAGGATCAAATCTCTTGAAAAAATCTTAAGAGCAACCGCACTCATTCTAAAAGTGACCATCACTATGAGTACATGTTGATGAAATCACTCCCTTCCCATGTGGCAAGATTAAGTGCAATGCTACTGAAAATTTCACCCAGTAAACAATAAAAAGTGCTCAACCAGTTTGATAAATTAGTTTTATCATTTTGAATCATGGTAACCTTCTCATACATTGCCACTAAACCATCCCAAAGTGCTGACTCCTGCAAAGGAGCATAGTTGGCAGTTGACCAGTGCAATTGCCCTATTCCAATTTGGTCAATTTGCATTCTATCCAGAGAAGACCTGAAACACATTCAGCAACAACTTTTATTAAATGAAGTCAAAGCAGTTGAATTCTCTCTCTTTCTCTATGTGCATTTTGTGTGTTTCTTTTCTGTAAGTTTCATGTATTTGTCGATTAACATGTTACAATAGGGGTGGACGAATTCAATATTTTAGTCTGCTTGTGTATACTCACAACCTCAATTGATTCAAATACATAGATCGACATTTTATTAGTCCTATCTTTGAGCTAAGAAAATTTGAATTTTATTGTGTAATATTCTGATAATAGAAAAAATTATTTAAAACTCAATCCAATAATCAGTTCAGCTTAATTGCATCTAAACGGAAAAGAAAACAAAGGAACCATACTTGCAAGCATTCACAAACTGTCCAGGTGTCAGGCGCCATGGATATGCAGCAAACTTTGTAGCAATCACAATATTATCCCGCACCCGTTTTTGTCCTGATAAAAGTCAGCTAAGCACTTAAAAATCAAAGATAAATCTGACATCAAAAAAGATATTCTAACCCCACCTATGCACAAAAAGAGGAACCCTAAAATACAGAAATGGGTTTTGGGGAGGGGTCAATTACCAGTTTCCCTGGCATCATCAGTGTCCATAACACACAATGATTTCTCCTAGGGCATGAAATCCAATTGAGTTAAGGCCTGTGATGAGATAGGTGTGAGATCATTCAGATATTGGACAGTAGGACAAATTCATTCAAATTGGTATTATTTTAAATGTTTAACAGACTGCAACTAACCATGAACATTTCCATCAGGGCCCTGGTAATTGGAGTCAGTCTTTTTGTCATTAAATTCCTCGTCCTTGCCTTTATCCCATGTGAATGGGGTCGGACACATGAATTCTCTCTTTCTCCATTTTTTTTTGTATTATACCCAATATCCCTCTAATATATAAAATTTTAAAATCATTTTTAATTAATACATCTCGTTTTAGTCAGCCTTTTTGTCAATTACCTTCTAGGCAAACAACTCTTCCTCTTCTAACTAGTGCATTCTGGTATCTACATCGAATGTGTCAATAAAACTAATCAATTTAATTGTTTGACAAACCACTCTAATCACTAACCATGAAAAAGGGAGGTTCAAAACTCAAATGGGTATGACATTATTAAACAATACCCAGAAGCAGAAATCAGAAAAGCACTTCTTTCAATCAATTTATGAACAAATTGGGCAGAGCCGAGCAAGAACTAAAACTGACCTGGATATTCACGGATGAACTTGCCAAGAAGCTTCTCACTTTGGCCATTTAATTTTCCAGTCCCATAAGAATCGGCCGTATCAAAGAGGTTGATACCATTCTCAACCACTAGATTGAATGTCTGTTGAAGCTCACTGTCCATTGATTCTTGATATCCCCACAGAAGCTGGTTGCCCCATGCCCAAGTACCAAAACCCATCGGAGATACAGTCAGTGGACCCATCTTTACCTACGAATACCATTGAAACATGCTCTCAAGAATCATATATATATCTGTACATATACATATTCATACATACATATATATGTGTGCTGTGTGTGTGAAGAATACCTTTTGCCATGGCCAGAAAGCAGGGGTTAAACGAGGGAGTTTGAGAGGTTCGAAGGGTGAAGGTAAAAGGGTGTTTTTTGAAGAGCACAAACAACTAAAATGCGCTGTGGGTGTGGGTGCTGCAATTGTGAAAGCCATTGTTGCCTCCTCTCTTGTAGTCAGAGAGTGAGATAATAGCAAATACTTTCCATGTTTTTGTGGTGAGGATTTGTTTCAGATTTATAAGCGGGCATTAGATTCTATATTTATCTCTGGCAAAGTTTCGGAAACACCCCTAAAATTTGAATTTTGGGCATATGACCCTTACAAGGTCGGTTTTGAATACATAAGTATTTGGTTATAAAATTTTAAAAATATTATTTTCTTTTTCAATATTGCCCCGAAGAAGAAAAAATAGAGGGTTGCTTTATTCATTTCCCATTTAATTATTTTTTTTTTACTTTTTTTTATTTAGTTAGAAAAGAACACTTTATCCTTTTCAGCATTCAGATCCTTATTTGATCAAAAATTAAATGTTATAAATATTTTAGAACGTATAAGAGGTTATATAGTAGGAGCGTTTTTCTCTAGTGACCCTTTATCTTTTTATTTTAATAAAGTTTGATAAAACTTATTTATGAATTTATATATATATATTTTTTTAAAAAAAGAAGTTTGATAGTATAATTTTTTCTTTTTCTTTCTTTTAAAAGAAAAATTCAAGTAAATGCACACACTTGCAATATTAGACATGGCAAGGCTCGAATGCTTAACTTCCTTGATCATTTAATTTAGATTAATTTTGATTGACAAACGCGTTTTAAAATCGTAATGACCATGAACCCATCAGAAATTCAAAGTTAATTAAGTATGATATTTTGTACGGGTAGGGTGAGGTCGGGTTATTATAAATGGTATTAAAGTTGGAACCCAGTTGGAAGTGTGGCCAACGAGAAAGTTAGGCCCCAACGGGGTGATTGTGACGACATCAATGGATAGGTGTGATGTGGACAGGAGCAAGACATTGAATGAGTTACCACACTTACAGGTAATAAAGTGTCATGATCCCACATTATCAGGGAAAGAAGAAGTATTATGTTTAACACCCTTTCATAACACAACGCATTTTAAAAGCAGACCATAAACTCCTTAAGATGGTTTACTTTGAAATAATATCAGGAAGAGTGACTACCTAAAAAATCTCGTCTGATAAGCTTTTGGACAATATTGTATTATTATGTCTGATAGAATGAGGGTTGTTACACTTGTTGGGAAACGTGCAAGTTTTAAAAACTTTTCGATGGATTTTGATTCATAGATCTTGATTCATCACATAAAGACAAGTTTTATACAAAAATAAAAATATGATGTATCATTCAATTAATGGATTGAATACTTATATCAAAGGTCTGAGTAAACCTTTAAATCTTTCCTCTAAAGTGAGTGTTCTCACTTATTGCAGATCCCTTAGCAAGATGCCTTCTCCTTGGATCTCTATCTTCTTAGTAATTGTTTTGCCTTTAGGAATCACTCATAAGCCTCCATGAATGACCTTGGAAAACTAGGCTTGTGGGAGCCTCCATTAGATGAGAACATAAACCCTAATTTTTTAGAGAGAGAAAATAAATTCTTTTTTTCCTTCTTCTAAAAATCACCCCTAAAATATACATAGACCATGTATATTTATAAGCAACATAAAGGTAAAGAAAAGGAAACAACGAATCCTTCTTAATTTCTAATTTACATGTCTCAAATCTAATATGATTCCAGTATCAAGTTGGGCTATGAGTGAGAATCCATTGGGCCTATTATTTTATTGGCTACAATGAATTAATAATTGGCCCGGTCCACGGACCCAATTCAATTAATTCATAAATTAATTTCTACTCCACTAAAAGAAATTAATTGAACTCCAATTAAATAATAAATAACCTCTAAGTCAATATTACACTTCGACCCCTCTATGCATAATTAGTTATCGGATAAATAAAGCTATCAATCCGACTACTTAATTAATATATTTATTTTGATACCTTTGATTATTTCTGGCTCGATCACAATTAAACATTTGTTTGACAAAAATAATAATTTAAATAAATAAATTTATAATAAATCATTTTGTCTAAAAACACACGAAGGCCTTCAAATTTACTTTGTGATCAACCATAATCAATACAAAATAAATACAAGTAGCAATGATGCAAATATTGAAAATATAACCCTCTAATTATTAATTACATAACTACCCAAAGTGTCGGTCTAAGGATCCCGAAGAATCCGCCGAACAAATCAAAGTAATTATTAATTAATAAAAGATTCTATAATTTTCTCATGCTTAAGAGTCAAATGCCATAACGGTGATAGGGAGCAATTGCATACAACGGCTCTCGCAATATATCTCAACCTAATGCGGATCCAGTTCAAATCTTAATTAATTATGAGTCCATCCATAATTACCGACTATGAACCATTTATGATTACTATTTATATATCATGCATTGATTGCCATTACATACATATATATAAATATCTCTTGTAATCAAATGGACACTATCAATTCTATAATGAATCGAAATATAATACATTGAATTCACCAATTGTATAAAACATAAATATTTCAGAAACGTCAAAAACATATGTCACCTTAATCCAAACAGGAATTTGCTATGCCAGGGCATATAAATCCCAACAGCTCCCACTTGCCCTCATAGCCAATTCAAATTGCACCTAACTCCAATGTTATCCAGATGATGATCAAAATTATTGATCAATGACACCTTTGATAATGGATCAACAAAGTTGTGTTCCAATGTAATGTTCTAGCTACAAGTACATTTTCTTGCCGGACAATATCATGTAGAACATGATACTTCCTGTCAGTGTATCTTGTTCCTCTATAGAACCTTGGGTCATTGGTTTGGACTACTTTTGCACTATTGTCACAACATAGCTCAATAGGCAAGCTAGTATACTCCACAACCTCCAAATCAGTGAGATCAAACCAACAGGCTTCATTTGCCGCCTTTAAGGCTGCAATATATTCCACCTGCAGGTTTGAGTCAGTAGTTGAAATCTGCTTAACAATCTACCAACTGATTTCCCTTCCATTAAGTGAACATACACTAAGTCATGAACCTCATAGTATCTACTTCTGATTGAAAATCAGAACTAGCATACCTGACTAGGACCATATCATCACATCCATAAATGAGTATGATATCATTGGTTCTCCTTAGGTACTTAATGATATTTTTCACAACAGACCAGTTATCAAGTTCAGGATTAGACTGATATCATCTGACTATCCCTAAAATGTAGCGGATGTCCTGTTCGGTATAGACCACGACATATATGAGACTCCCATATGCCAAAGTATATAGTTCCAGTCTCATTTGCTCAATCTCCTCTGCCAGTCTTGGAAAACTACTTACTAGAGAGAGCAATCCATATCAATAAAGCAAGAACTCATTTTTTGAGTTATGCATACCAAACTTGATAAAAACTTTTCCAATGTAGGATTATTAAGATAAACCTATTTTCCTTTTAACCTGATCTTGCAAAAGCTTGATCCTAGAAATAAGCTTACATTTTGAAAATCCTTCATTTAAAAGTAATTGAACAACTACCTCTTTATCGATGACAAAACTTCCACATCATTCTAAATGAGTAGGATGTCATATATATATATAGAATCAGAAAAATAATGACATTCCCTTGTACACTCATGATTTATTCACTAAAAAAATCTTCTGATATCTTTTTGTAGATTAAATTGTCTTCCATAGGAATCACCCTACTAGAAAGTTCTACAAGATCCCAGAATTTATTAGAATACATAGATTCCAACTTTGATTTCATAGTAACTCGCCAAAACGATCTGTATCCATATCGGTTCACGCTTCCGTGTAGCTTACTGGGTCCAACTCATGTTTAACAGGGATGTCCATAATGGTCTCACCTAAAAACATGATTCTGTCGAATTGGATGATAATCCTCCCACTACATTAATGTACCGATGCAGGAATCTGTGTACTAGATGATGCTGACGCATCAATAGGGAATTCATTTATTATCCTCAATCTCTATAATAAGTGTGTTCACATGTGGTACATCTGGTACTCATACCATATTCTCTAACATTATGCTACTAGGTATGTAATTCATAATATGACCCTTCTATAGATAAACAGTGAGTGTAAACAATCAACTTTTATCATTGAGATCATAAAATAATCCATCCTAGTGACTTTTAGAGTAGCTATCAAATCTATCATGCGTATGATCTGTTTCCAACTTACTTGTCCATATCAAGCGCACATGTGCAAGACTACCCCATATGTGTATGTGATTCAAACTAAGATTTAGTCAAAAACACAGCTTAACGGTATCCTTGAGACAGACTAAGATGGAATGCAGTTCATAATGCGCATTGATGTCATTAACGCTAAACTCTTAAATGAAAGAGATAATGTGGCATAACTGATCATAGATCTAACCATGTTAAGTGGAATTCTGTTATTCCTATTTGACACCTAAATGCATTTAGCGTCAATTGCGGAAAACTGGTACACAACACCCTCATTGACCATATAGTCTTTGCACTATCCCAAGAAATACTCATATCCTCGATCAGATTGAAATGTCTTGATAAGTTTACCTAATCTGTGCTCCACATCAGTCTTGACCCTCTCGGAATATACCAAAAGTATAAGACTTGTGTCGCAACAGGTAAACTTATCCAAAACGTGAGTAATCTTGCTTGGATGTTCACAAGACTACACGTGTCTGTGTGTACCGACTCCAATTGTTCTTTATGTCTATTTCATTTGGCTGATTAAGCCCTTAGAGTTATCTATCCTTCAAAACAAGATTCACAAGTTTGGTTTAGGCTCCTCTGTCTCACTAGGTAATAAACCTTCTTTGACCAATCTTTGAATCTCATTTTGATTGATTACAACCCAAAAATTGACACCAAAAAATACAATGAGTCAGGAATAACAAATTTTCTCTTAACATTCAATCTAGAGATGCAACATTAGTTTCTACATCCTGCAAATCTTAAGAGTTTGTGATTATAGTATATTAACCATCTTTCAATGCACCAGAAGCAATCGCATATATATTCAATTTTATAAAACCAATTTTACAAAATAACAACACAGTTTTTTATAAACCACAAGTGAAACAAGAATAAGATAGCGTCTAACTTCTGTGCATAAAGATAGTTCTCTAGTACTAA